CTTTTCAACATCTTGTACAATTCTCTCGATCGTGGTAACGCACCTGTCGTTCTTTTTTTTTTAACCGTTAGGCAATAATAACGCAACAATACATATATACATCGTTTAATAATCTCTACTGGCGAGCAGTACTTGTGTGTCTGTGTGTGTGTGTATGTGTGTATATATATTACGTTTTATATACGATATACAAAACTCGTGTATCCAATGTGCATCCCTCCTTCCGTTCCGTCCATTTTGTTTTCTTCTTCCATTAGCTCGAGTGGCGCCCTCGAAAGGCCACCTCCCCCCCTCCCTCCTTTCGCGTTCCTTCCCCGCTTATGTCTCTTCTTCCCGCTATCTACTTTACAAAGTTTTCCCTATCTTACGGTGTAACTTTAGTTCTCGAAATGTTTCTAAGGAACATCCACGACCCGATCATCCCGCAACTATTTTCTTATTTATATCACCGCCGCGAATAGAGACCGTGTCGCGAGATATCGAGTCGCTCGACTCTCTTGAAGTCTCTTGAAGTATCGATGTTTCGTCTCCGTGTCGAATTTTTTATCTTTTTCTTTTTTTTTCTCTCTCATCTCTTTTTTCTTTTTCTTTCCGATCCGTGTTTGTTTTGTTGCCGTCGGAAGTCGGGCCGTTCGATAACGCGTTTCGAACCTCTCGCGTTTCACGAGAGAATGATTCTAGCGAGCCGAAATGGTCCTACGTGTACTTTTAATAATAATAATAATAATAATAATTTTAATTTCTTTTTTTTTTTATGTTTCTTTCTTCCTTCCTTCCTTCTCTACGAATCTATCGTGCAAGTGACGAGTAAAGACGGCGTGTAAAGACAAAGATAGAACAATAGAAGATCAAAGAGTTAGAGATCGTGTATAATAGGTATAGATAGGAATACATTTTTTTTTTTTTTTTTCATTTCAATTATATACTTATAGTATGTATAGTATTGGAGAAAGAGAGATAAGTGTATAAGTATAATAGGATTTCTTCGTGAGAGTAAAGTTTGAATAGAAATCTCGTTAGTAGTTTAGTAAATTTAGTAATATGTTTTAGTATTTCATAGAATGTTCATGGCCAGCCCCGGTTCACGCGCGCGCACGCTACTGATTAAAAAATTTGAAATCACTTTTTTTCAATAGTAATAGTTATATCGAATCCCTCGCTAATTTTATTATTAATTAAAATCTAGTACTACGGATAGATGTTTCACGAGAAAGAATTTTTTTTTTTTTTGAGGTTATAAAATTCTAACCTAACTTTTGGTTAAATTCGCGAATTCTGATTAACGCGATTAGTGATTTCAAATTTTTCGCGGATATCGCTGTGTGTAGCTGTGCTTATATTTCTCACGAACGAAAACAGTTTAGAAAAGAAAATACGAGCGATTCGATAAGTTGCAAGAATCGAAAGTAGCGCGTGTTCGAATTTCTTGTTCACTTTATGGCTAATAACGTTTTGATAACGTTTTGATAACGTTTTTCACGCGCAGAGAAACGATTTTCCAAATGTTCGTTCCGATTTTGGTCCAAATCGAAAAATTCTCTCTAGTACATTGGTCGTTTCGCGTATACGGTTGACTAATCAATTGACGAAAGTCGAAACTAGCGTATACCGAATAAACTATAGAGAAAAGACGAGATTTTTTTTAAAATATTTTTCCTCAAATTTGAAATTACGTACTGGTCCTGGCTGTGCGTATGACCTTGAAGTTTGATTCCTCTTTTTTAATTTATTGGTAATGCAGATACCTTGTTTCAAAGCGATAATTTGCACAAGAATCGAATTATAACCAGAAACGAACTGGCTACCACTTTGTATCACGTGCGATTTCAATATACTTAAATCGAACTTAGTTTATCCTTGTACGAATGCTAATTAGACGATTGACTGGATAATATGTTTCTCGTTTTTTTTTTTTTTTTTTTTCTAAAATCACAACAAGCGAAGACGTTACAGAAGTGAAAGTATAGTACGTGGTAAGTTAATCAGTGGTAGCTGTCGACGTTAAATCAGTCTATTGTAATAATAAACTCTAACGTCGATCCTTGTATGATTGTCGTTAAGAAACAATAAAATTCTTCTTAAATATATAAAGTATCGAACGATTCATTGTCGCAACAAGAACGGAATCTACGAACGTTTCAGATATGACTCAAGTCGAAGAATGAAAATTGGTCGAGAATTCGATCAAGTCTTTTCACGAAAGTCTTTTAATATGTTTCAAGAATCTGCATTCATCATTTTGGTTCCTTTGTTTCCCAATAATAACTAAATCCTATCGATACCGATACATACATGAATCTATAAGAGCCAATTCTAAACTAAAACATTTCTTCCTAACCTCTATTCAACTAATCATGGTTGATCGCGCGAGATCGTATATAGAGAATACAAAACGTATAAATGTACACGTTGACCTAACAAAGATACTCGATATTAATCAACCTACGCGAACACACTTTGCGATACGTCTCTGTTAAAATTCACCTAATTCGTACCACGGTTTTACGTACCGTGCATTTCTGGCACAAATATTTTACGACAAAGTAAGAGGGAAAGAGATCGACGTCGAAAGAGACATTACTTTCGACGAGATATAAATATTTTGCTCGATCGGTAATACTTTTCATCCTTTGTGAAATATATTTGTCAATACCGATCGATGGTACGTGAAAACTTTTCGCGAATTTCTCACGATCTCTTGAAATTCTACGGTATTCGATTCGTTATGTCGATACGAATTGGGACTGGCCACGTGGAACGACGGTTTTAGATTCGAGCGGACATAATGTCCATTAAACAGTGAGCGTTTCTTCGCTCGCTCTCGTTCGATTCTAAGTATATATATATAGCTATGTATTTTAACAGCAAATGCACAGACCGATTAAACGGAGTCGAGTGCCGCGAGGGACTATTGCAATTATTATTTTTTCCCGTGCTTTTGTTTCGAGATTCTGACATGTTCGTTTAACTTATTCGTTCTGTAACTTCGTCCTCGTTCAATCAATTTTTGCCGGAGTTAGTTTATATCACGGTTTCAATTTCAAATTCGGAAAATTAGCTAGCCGTGTCGATGTTGTTCGTGTTGGTAGAATATTCGAATAGAGAATACGAAATTAAATTGGCACTTCGAACATTCCCTTTAATCCGCATCGTCTTAATCCTAAAACGTGTGAGAAATATTTATCCGCGAGCTGTCGTTCGTGATGAGGGGATCTTTCTCGAAATACCATCCCGTCGAAATGAAGCGAGAAAAGATAAATAAAAAAAAAAAAAAAAAAATTGACAAATCGAATAACAAAATGCGTCGCGATTCAGTAACGAAACGAAATTTTTCCGATCAGAATGAAACTCGTTTGTTCGTAAAAATAAACGGACGGTTTTGTTATAACGACGATACAAACAAAGCAAAGAAAGAAAGAAAGAAAAAAAAATTGGAAAAGAGAAGAAAGAAGGGAAGAGAAACAAAACGAGAATAATAGCGCCGATTTAAAAACGACGCTCCGCGAATAAAACGAGCGAATTCATTCGTGGCATAAACATGCACTCGATTGAACTCGTTTCGTAGCAGGTCCGTTTAACAGGAATTGAAAGGAGCCTGCGCGAGAGGCTGGGTGAAAGAGTAATTGGAATAAATGCACGAAGAAGAGAGATCGTCCGTTTCCATAAATTCTCGCCGATAATTCTGCTGGACGTATCCGATCGTCGAGATATACGCGCTTTAATACTTTTTTGACCGTGCCTGATCAGCCATTTCTCTACGGTAATTCCATTGCAACTTTGTAACTGTTATAAAACACCGTATCGATCTTGGAACGTCGCTTGAGCGGAATTCCGATTGGGAATTCGTGTATCGCGTAAATTTGGTCGCAGGAGTGACGAATTGGGTGAAGAAATCGCGAGAAACACGACGCGATCCGACTTCAGTGAGGCGCGCGACTTCAACACGAAAGGGTCGAAAGAAGAAGAAGGTAAGAATACGATTCCATTTCCATCGATGGAGCGGTAGACACGAGTGAAGAAGGTGAAGCGGTTGAACACGTTACAGAGTGATGGTTTATGAGCAACGAACGTTGCTCGTTCGAAAGCAAATCGAAAGGGATGAATCTCAGGTACTCAGTAGCAGAATGTATTTTCGCGTGCATGCATCGTTTCGAGACGGTGGAACGCACGAAGGTCGCGACGAAGCACCTCGTTTCGAACAGAAATTGACGAACTTTGATTTATTTTTTTTTTTCTTTTCTTTTTTTCTTTTTTCCTCCTTTCTCTCTCCGGTCGTCCGCGTCGACGATTTTCGCGATCAAAAGGATTCGATTCGATCTTTTCTCTCTCTCGTATCATCCTGACGATCGTTTCGTCCAGCCATAGAAAAATCTCGAGAAATTGGTAACGTTTCGGATCTCGTTTACGGTTTATCACTTCAACGCTTTGCTATTGAGTGTCGTCTATATATCGTCCTACTGTATGTATATTTATACATGTATATATATATGTATATTATTATTATATTAAATCTCTTTGAACGGTATCTCTTATTAAAATATCTATGACGCTTGTTGTACACTATATACTTCTTTCCCCCCCCCCCTTTTTTTTAATACATACATATATGTATTTATATCTTTCGCTGATCTTTGGCTGACATCACATTGACGACGATGATGTCATCAATGTTTGCGCGAAACTCTCATCGCCGTTTTCTTTTTTCTCCTTCTTGTTTTTTTTTTTTTTTCTTAAATTTTCTTCACAATTTTAATATCAATCCCCCGGAGCTTTTCGTAATGGAGCGAAATAAAACGCGAAACCTGATCGTGACTGGGATGCATGAATGGGTATACACGCGGTGCTACACTCGGATGTGAGTAGCTCGATGGTATCTCACGTAAATGACTAGGAGAGATCGCGTGTACTTTAACCCCCCTGGCCACACACATCGTTCCCAGGCAGAGGAAAAGGAAGAGATCCGATGGAGGTTCCAGCATTCGCACGATCTTGCTTTTGATTTATTTTTGATCTACTTTTCACGGAGGCGCGTTCAGAGATCCTCGAAATGGATGGTTAAAAGGCAAATTGGGACGAGTCGAGGCCACGTGATTCGTTCAATTAACAATCGTGAACGAGGAACTCGGTAATCTGCTTTCTCACTATTGACCCACGATTGTTTTCTGACTAAGCAATGTGGATAATTATGCATACCAAGTTCTTTTTTTTTTTCATCGCAATTTCAATTTTAACGAGGATCTCGTTAAAATTTTTTTTATTATTTTTGTTTACTTTTATTGAAAATTTTAATCGTCTTATGTGCGTTTGCATTTAATCGATTATCTCTTGTAATCCGAGTAGATACAATATTTTTATAGAAATTGTCATTATGAATTGTAATCATTGGATTATATACACAACGATGTGCGTTGAATATCATTATATCAATACCGATGCATTTTTCCTGAAGAAATTTTCAAAGAATTTTCTTGACGTAATATTCGAAAAAATATTCGAACGAATTTCAAATAACGCGGCCTACAAACTCACTTTGTTCCTCAGAACGAATCTGCGCATCATTTATAGAAAAAAATCGTTTCGATTCTCTTGCCAATGATTTTTTTGTCGATCATCACGAAACGAAAAAGAAATCCTAAGTTCCGATTTTTCGAACGGATAACCTTTCTCTCTCTCTCTCTCTCTCTCTCTGCCGCGCACAGATTCGTTCTATTTCGATTGTCGATCTTTCCCAGAAGGAAAGGAGGATTGGTAACCGTCCATTCCGGACTTCCGTGACGCGGGTTCCGTTTGGCCATCGAAAGATCGTCTTTTCACGTTTTCCTTCGCGTTTCCCTCTGCCTGTAAAAACGACGTCGAGAATCGCCCCGATTCGTTCACTTCCCATCCTTGCACGCGTCCCCCCAAGAGATTTCGCCTGAAATTTTCTTCCCCCCGTATCGGTCCCCGATTCCATTATATCGTCGGATGAAAAGGGAAGCTCGTATCAATTTCGAAACAAGTTAGAAGGGGGCCAGAGATTCTTCTCTCTGGATACAATCACGCGCGGCCGACCAACCTTGCTTCGAGAGCATCTTCTGATCCTTTATCTCTCTCTCCTTAATTACACGCGATTCCACGAAGAGAAGGTTGACTCGATGCGAAGGGGCAGCATGAATCGTTCATCAACCACGTCTGCCAACTTTAACGATAACGTAACGGGGGATCTTTTGGATCGTTCCACGGGGATTAGTCGCGACGAGACTTCTGCTTCTATATTTAAATCGACTACTAGAACGGCGGAACGTCGTTGGAGGACGAGTCGATCTTTATCATCGAGGCAGAACCGAGGTTTTTCTTTTTTTTTTTTTTCTTTTTTTCTTTCAATCATCTCTCGTGAAAAGATGAAAAGTAATATATTTGGAATCAGTTGCACAACCTTTGCAGTGTCGATTAAATCTGTATGTATGTATGTATGTATGTATGTATGTAGTATGTTCTTAGCTAAAGCTTTTAACCACGCCTTCCTTCGTTTTTTTCTTTTTTTTCTTCTTTTTTTTAAGAACACGAATTAGATAACCACGGCCGATCGCGGCCGTATTCAACAACGGTTTCTCTAAAATTAATCGAACATTGTGTTCTCACTGAGAACGTTATTAAGTCACTGTGATTCTTCTGAGTATTCCTATATAGAGATATATTCGATATAAACGTTTCGGTGAACTTTGATCGCGGTTCCTTTTTTTTTTTTCTTTCTTTTTTTCTTCTTCTTTTTTCCTTTTAAAAACGAGGCTTCCGGCTAGTTCGGAAAAGCTTGTTTTTTTTTTTTTTTTTTCTTCAACGCGTGCTAACTTTAATATTATTCGTTTATTACAGAGAGGCTTCTAATAACCTTTTATCAGCCCCGGATATTCGAAATTGCATTTTTTTTTCTTTCTTTATACATACATGTATACCTGATGCATGTTATCGTGCGTATTCTACGTTTGTCCTACCGATGTCCGTTTCGAAAACTTTTTTGAAAACTCGATCACGATTAAGCGACCCTCGGTCAAAGGCAGTGAACATCAACGAAAATTTTCAACATTCGAACGAAGGCCGCCCACTTTACCGCGAACGCATTGAAATATATTTTTATTTTTTATTCTTTTTTTTTTCTTTTTTTCTTTCTCGTCGCACTATCTAATTACTCTTATAATAAATAGCAAACATGTTTCATCGTGTTAACGAGTTAACGTTCTAAGCAATTATCGCAGCGAGCAAGGTTTCTTATTATTATTATTATCATCATCATCGAAATCGCGCGTTATTAAGATTAAGATTAAGATTCAAGATTTATTGCCGAATAAGAATGAACGGATGAACGGAATAAAAAAAAAAATAAAAGAAAGGTGGAAAAAAATCTTAATCGAAATCGTAAGTACTGTAGTATTGCAATGGAGAGAAGAAAAAAAAAAAAACGAATGTTCGTTCGAATGGAATCTCGCAATTTCTAAACAAATCGAACCGTTTATCTTCTTTCCCTCCCCTTCGCGGGGGATGTAAATACGATTTCGCGCTTCCACAACTGTACAACTGCCTTGCTCTTACCGCGGCTACGTGTATGTATCCTCCTTATGTCTTATTTATTCCCTAATAAGTAAATATTCCTTCCTTAAGATCGCGATTTGGAATTTTTTTGCGATGAAAAAAATCTACGACCTCTTTCGATATATATATATATATGTGTGTGTGTATATAACACAATGCATACGAAACGCTCGAGAACGGTTTGTCGTCGAGGATCGCGAAAGCATCGAGGATCGTGTCCTTTCTTTTTTTTTTTTTTTTTTTAAAAGTTAGTATCGTATGATAATATACGTTTATATAAAATTAGCGACATCGTTCTCTGGCGAAAGAGGAATGGCGACACAATCCGCTACTAAAATACCATAGAAACTTGTGTATGTGTATATGTATATATGCGTGTGTGTGTGTGTGTGTGTGTGTGTGTGTCCTGTTCATCGAACGATTAAATAAATACGCTATTTTATACATACGTGTGTCTGTATATATAATATATCCTTCTGTATTTTTCATCGATATATTTGATAACAGCCGTGAACACAGATTGATTCACGGGCCCACGGGAGATTAGAACACGTTTCTTCTTTTTTTTTTTTTTTTCTTTTTCCACTTATATAACCTCTCGTTACATATGCGATCTATCCGTTAAATTATATTTTAAGGCAAACTCACTTTACTTCCTCGCACACGCAAGCTTCTCCTTTGTTCGCTCTTTGTCCTCTCCTCTTTTTGCCACCATTTCCTTTCCTCTTCTCGTTTTCTTCCCTCCAATTCTTCAACCTCTTCTTCGCTCGTTCTCAGATACATTCATTCTTTCACTCTCTCTCTTTCTCTCTCTCTCTCATTCTCACTCCCTCAGGTACCTCTAACGCACATGCACGCATAACGTCACGCGATCACGTTCGTTGTTAAATCAATCCCGGATGTGGGAGGGCGAAAGCTACCAGTAGTTTTCCGGCACAGAGTGTTCGTTCGCCAGCGAAATCGCACCCCTTCGATTCCACTTCCTTTTTGTCCTGGAAAAAAAAAAGAAAAAGAAAAGAAGGAAAGATAAATCGATAGGTTATAGATAAAAGAGTTCCAGCAACCTTGTTCTCTCTCTTTTTTCTTCGAAGGTGAAAAATTCGTTTGGTCGGAATTCGTGTGTATATGCATGTAGGTCTCTCGAAGACGAGTAAGCGAAGACAAAATTTTATTCCGCGCTATTTACATGGACCAACACGTCCTATATGCTATATTTACGCTTTTAGGTTTCTGAATGAGAATCGTGTCAACCGTAACACTGAACGTTCAACCTACGTTTCCATATTTCTTGCGAGCACACTTTTCCACTTTTTTTGATTTTTATCCTTTCTTCTCCTTTTGATATTTTCATTTATATCAGAGACGTATATAAATTTGTGAAAAAAATGGACGTTCGATTTTTATATTAATAAACTATAAACTTACCGAGAGAACGTTTCGTTGAGCACACGCCTTGGCGGACGCGACGAGTTTAAGATACACGCGGAGTAGGCCGACGTTTGCCGCTGAACGGGCTCCTTTTAGAAGCCCTCGATATAGCCGTAGGCCTCGAGGATCGACATAATGAGGTAGAACACCCAGAGGAAAAAAAGGATCAGCGACGTAATCACTTTTGGGACGAATGGCCCGCCGAGTTCGCCGCCAATGCTTTTCGTCCGCCTCAGTAGTAGAACTAATATTACCAGGCACGCTTCCGTGCAGAACAACGTCACGCAGAAGGCCAAGCTGTTGAGAACACGCCGTGTTATTTGTCTCTTAATACCATTTCTCAATTTCAGTTGTGACGTAATCTCTTACGATTACATTGACTTTTGCCCAATCGTATTATTTTTTCGTACACAACGATGGACAACCTGGGATTTTTTATTTTTCTTATATCTTTTGTCTTATATCCGACGAGTCGAGATCATCAAGTTTTCGAAATTGTTTCCAATTTAACGATGGAATATTTTTCTAACGATTAAACGTGAGTTGTGGTAGATCGTCAAGTCGAATAAATAAAAAATACGTTATATATTTAAAAATCATTTTACCTAATGCGTCGATAGTAAAACAAGTCTCGTATTTCATCGAGAGTACACCAATATGGAGAATCGAATCGATCGATACGAGCGCGATCGAGAGCATCATGGAGGGCCATCTGTGCGCGCATCGTGCAACTACTTCGATCCTCGGACCGTACGTCGCAGTATCTGTCAGCCAATCGAATTTATTTATGGGTTGGACAACAATCGGAGTCGATATCGGACGAATCTCGATCGAGAAGAATTCATTTATTTCGACGATCTCATCCAACCGTTTCGACACGGTTTTGTCGTTTGTTGCCGAGGAAGAAGAATTCGATATCACGGCCGTGAAATATTCTCGTTGGAGGAGCACAGCCCCAGAAATAAGACGCTCGGTTTTCCTCGCCGTTGAAATTCATGCGAGGCGGTATCGACAACCTCGCCTTACCAACCGGCGAAAATTGGGAGCAGCCAGAGAAACGTATTCGTGGCGTCTTGCACAGGGAATGCATGATTACGAGCGCGAGTAACGGCTCGACCCGGTGTGCACACTCTGTCGTGTAAATATTTCTTATCGAATGGGAGCGTTACATTTTTCAAAGAGGAAAAGAGGCTCGAGTTTGGATCTTCAGATTTGATAAATGTGAAATTAAATTTTGTAATCGACAAAATTTACGTTCCTTTCATGATTGTAAGCATAACGATTCGAACAATTAATTTCTTCAATCGAATAGAAATTGGAATTTCATTTTTCATGCGTGCAAAAAATTTCTATGCTTTCGATCTTTGTGTACAAAATTAAATTTTGTAATCGGCTTGCTGTACCTATTTTAAAGGATCGTTATGATTATATAACGATTTGAATTGAACACTGTGTATAAATATAACTTCTTATATCGAATAGAATTTCACTTTTCACGCTTCACATCTTTGCAATTGTGCCATTTTTGAACATTCCGGAGAAACTGTTTCAAAATATTCTCGCACGAGAAAATGCACGATTACGAGTAACGATTCGAGAGTTGATCGAACTGCACGCCGTGTAAATATTTCTTATCAAACAGACGAGTGGCAGGAGTGTTTCGTTTTTCACGCGCGAAAGAGGCGCGCGTTCGATGTGCAAACTTTGCACGCTTTGCATCCCCGATGATAAATGCGGAATTAAATTTTCTAATCGACCGATCCGTCTAGAGAAACATCGTTCTGGACAAATTGTTCCAGAGAAATGGAGAATTATTTTTTTTTTTTTTTTCAGAGGGAATACGCGAGCAACGGTTTGGAGGATTGATCGAATTGCGCACTCTGCACACCGTGTAAATATTTCTTATCGAATGGATAAACGAATGGTAGAAAATGTTTCATTTTTCACGCGGAAGGGACGTGCGCTTGACACGGTGTGCAAACTTTCCAACGCTTTAGGCCTTTGATGATAAATGTGGAATTAAATTTTGCAATCGATTTGCCCTACAGTTTCTCGATTTATCGCGTTAATCCTATAACGCGAAAAGTATACAGAATTTATTGGATTTATCGAGCGCGTGAAACGTATGATAATTTCACCGTGTAAAACGTTCATTCAGAATTTACCGATTTAAATGTACCGATTCGAATTATAATATTTCTTTGCACGTCGATTCGAAATTCGAACTTAAATAATCAAATACACGTATAAAAACGGTAAATTGTGTATTCTCATTAACCGATATTAAAATTTGTGACATTGATCCATCGCGAGTTCAAAAAATTTGTTCCACTCGTTTGAAGATCGAAATTGAAAACGAAGGACGAGGAAGAACTCGATCGAAAATCGAAAACAATTTTTTTAATCATCGTTCAATCGATTCCGTTCCAATCCATTCGACAAATCTATAAAAACCTAATAATCTACAACAACCATTCCTCCTCTCCATTTCCAAATTTCCAAAAAAAACAAATTTCGAAATTTATGCTTCCCATAAAAAAAACCGGCCGCCATTCTCGTTTCGTTGGTCTCTCGGAAATATCCTGAAGGATACGTCCCTGCCGACACGGGACAACAATTTTCTAGAGCACCGTGAGACACCGTGCCGAGTTCTGGTCACGTTTCAGCGCATAAATCGACGAGCACCGCCAGTTTCTCCCGCAATCTCTGACCGAATTTCTCGAGAGCATCGACTTCCCTCCACCGGCTCGAGAGATCGTAAACGGTGCCCTGATATCGAGGGGAGGATCTCCTCGTCTTTCACCTGATATTGTTTCGTTTCTGTTCCACTCTTATCCAGTCCCGATGGCATGGACTGCTATCTTCCGCTTTAAATCGCGTTTACAACGAGGATTGCGAAACATCGTCCGGAATTCGTTTCGACAGTAAGCGATTTTTTTTTTACGACTGCGTGGAATGCCTCGAATTATTTAACAACAGTTACGATTTTTATTGCTCGTAAAAAAGAAAAAAAAAAAGTGCAATTTGGATCTTTGGACGAAGATGGATGATTCTCCGCGAGGAGAAATGCCGAGTGGAGGAATTTCACGAGCGAAACGATTCTCTCATTTCCTATTCTCTCTGTCGAAACAGCCGCGATCTCGAAAGTTTTATCGTTTTCGTAAAAAGGTTCGTTTCGATACGATCGAATCGGCGAGCACGCTTTTCAATCATCAATGGAAAAAGAAGTTGAAAGCACCTCGTATCGATCTCTTTCATCGAGATCAATTTAAGAAGATTCTAATCTAATTTTTCCATCCTCGTGAAAAGAGATCCGATTAAATCCATCGTTATCCGAATAACAGATTATTACTCTCGAACAAGAGCGCAAATACATTTGAGATTGGATATTTTTTACAAACTTTTTTGAGAGTGACCCATAATTTCGTAATTTTCCAATGCGACTCTCCAACAAACAACAACGTTTGTTTCGCTCATTTATCCCAAGTTCTCCTCGAAAGAAAGAAAGAAAGAAAGAAAAAGCAACTACAAAGTTAAACGATATCATGAAAAAAGTAAGGATAAATCGATACTGACTTGCCCGGTTTTACTCTAAACTTGTCACCGTGCAACGCATGGTAAATGGCCGCGATGCTCCATGCAACGCCGATCCCCAGGAAGACGTTCACCGCGTTACTTCCGGTCACGTTCCCCACGCTCGCGTCGGCGTACTTGTCCTGGCATGCGGCCACCTTGCTCGCGAACGTGTCTGCAATAAAATCACACACTTGGATTTACCTCCTCCTCCTCCCTTTTCTCGCTCTTCTCTTCATCGCCCCTCCCCTTTCTTCCCTCCAATCAAATTTATCGATTTTCAATCATTCCTCGCTCGCACGAGCAACAATAGCTCGACGAGTAATCTTGTTCATCTTATACATATATATATATATGGGTACATATGGGAACAAGGAGGTTGTGCAGGATGGGTGCATATGTCTCGAGACCGAGCAAAAGCGGCAGAGCTTGCGGCGCACCACGATTTGTGGCAACACCTTGCCACGTCGCCTATAATAGCAATTTGCAGTTTACGTGCTCGCTAAGATACCCTCGGCTACCTTATATAAAACCTGTGAATCTTGTACGAGATCAACGAGATCGTGGAGCGTTGTATAAATATCGGGAAATTTTGTGAAATTCAACGACTATTCTACGAGAGTCGATACGCGAGAGGAATCGTGCACACGTAGAGGTTGAAAAGTTTTTAACCCTCTGCGTCACCAACAATGGTGACTCTCAGGCACTATTTGGATCGATTCGAACGGCGACAATATTTATTTACGTTTGATTCTTTTTTAAATATCGCTTCGTGAATAAATTGCTTTGTAATCTTGTGAAGCGTGGAATGATATGCTATCGAATGGTTAGATTTCTTTTTTTATCTGAAATTAGATCGAATCACATTTTCGGCGTTGGTCCGAGTTTCATGGCGATAGAAATGTTACTTTCAAAGTTTCTGAGTTTGGTAAGCGTGGATGAATACGGTAATGAAATTAGTATTCGAGCAAAGATGAGTTTGATTTTTCGTTATTAAATAACGAAATTACTTCTATTCGTTAAAAAATTAACGATGAGAGAGAAGGAAAATAGTGATAGCGAAGTAGAGATAATATATAATATATGAAAAATAAGAATAGCAACGGTTTGTAACGACATCGTGATATTTGCCAAACTTGACGAGGATGCACTTCGATAATTACTTTATTATTAAAATATCGCACAAAGCAACAATATAGATTTTTAACGTTCGACAAATTTTCTTTCTTTACACGTAAAGATGCACAAAATATTAAAATATAACAATTTTATACCTTAATTTGCGCGTGAAATCATTTTAACTTAGCTAAGAAATTCACCGAATCGTCTCGAGTTGTTGATTCGCCCGAACGAAAAAGGCCTCAAAAAAGTTAAAGTTTAAAGGAAAACGATCGTGACCTTTTTTCGCCATCTCGATAAAGATGATCACGCGTGTGCATAAGTGTTTAAGAAATAATCGGGTTTCTCGAGTTTCCGGGTAAACTTCCCGATTCGCAACTTTTCTACGTAAACGTGGGGATCATCGATGAGAGCGGAGGGAGAACAAATTTTCGAAAAAACTTTATCTCGAATTTTTTCATTTTCGGCTCGCGGAAAAAAAGGTAACTTCAACAATGCCCGAGCAAACACGCTCGTAGAGAGTTATGCAAAGCGTACACAACATCGTTCCAAAAACGGGATGGTATCCCTCCTCCATCCCCCTCCTCCTCGTCGACGTTTAATCGGCGAATATGTTTCGCCATATGCGTCGCCTACTACTTTCGTCAGTTCTTGTTATTGGTCGTCGCTCCTATCGCGTCGAGAACACTGTGCACAACAGCCAGCTGACGTGAATATAACCCAAGGTGTACGTAACCGTGCGTGCATGTATATACACTCGGATTAAATCCAGCCGCGTGGATTCATTTCAGCCACCAGTTTTATATATATATATATATGTTCCAACCGATCGTGCTTTCGACTGTGAAAAACTTTCACGCATACTTCGATACTGTAAACGATCGTGATTATTCGAGTCCCGATATCGGCTCGAATATTATCGAGTTTTGTTTGAAAAAGCAGAGAGAGAGAGAGAGAGAGAGAAGGAATTATTGGCAATCGTATTCCCCGTTTTTATCCAATGCACGTGGTTTTTCACGGTTATCTTGATACCATTCGTATACCATTTTTCCAATTGTAAAGCTTAAATCGAATAATTTAATTCGTTATTGTCCTTGCATAGATCTTTTTACGTGGCTGTTCTGGGTATAAAAGAGCAATCGAGAGAATAAGAAAATCGTGGAGGGATATTAAGTTTATCCATTTTTCGAGTCAAAAATTGAAGTATCGGTTTCCGTCCGTAATTCTTGTAAATCGCTGTGGCTCGTATTCGAATCGAAAATTCTGGATGGAAAGAACGATCGATGATGATTCGAAGATGTATCGATGATGATTAATCCACGATCCCTGTAAATCCATTTTTCAACGGGAACGTTGTTCTCGATCGAGAAAATTTGTATAATTCGCGGATTATTCGGCCGAAGGCTATTGGCTTTCCCTCGCCACGCGTTTCGCGTACTTTTACGATCGTTGCAAACTTCCTTCCTTTCGTAGAATCTCATCAATGTTTATGGCTACGAACCAAGGATTCGCTCGATCCTTCGCCACACTCTTCTTCACGAAGATCGAAATTCTCTCGTAGAATATGTCGGAAGTCCCCCTGTTCTCCCTGTGAAACATCTTATCTTATCTTATGGACTCTGAAACGACGTTCAACGACCACGGTTTCGAACACCGTTATGACGAAACTAGCCGCTTTCGTAGCCGCTTTGACTCCATTTCCTCGCTTTCCAGGAATTAGAATTCTCTCTGTTGCCGGATGGAGAGAGATTGATTCTCACTTTAATTGAACTTGAAATTATCAACCGAGTTTGATCTTTCAGCTGTATCTCGATTCACTCGCAATACAGTTTGTTCGGTGATATTATTCGTGGTCCATCTGATAAATTGAAAGATTAAATAGAAAGTTAAATTTATTTAACTTTCAAAGATTCGAGAGCTTTATATTTATATATATAAGTAGCTGGATCGACTCGATTTATATTTCGAGCTGAGAATTCAAACGGACTATTCAGACTTAAATAAATAAAACCAGGTTGGTGGAGGCTCGTTGCTGGGACGAGCCGACAATTGATCGAAATTTGCGTTCCACAAAATTGGTTAATATGATTAATGGCCGATCAAGGCCGATAATAAATTCGTGGCCTTGTAATAAAACTCGTCGAATTATCCATATTTCACTTCGATAACCGACGTTATCACGTCCACATCCCTTTGATTGTTTCGAAACGAATGAGGCAGATCGACGATTCGAGATTCGAACAATTCCAACGGATGGGGCGATTTTTCTCGGATATCTCGCGGGGGAGATTTGGAGGAAACGTTCTTTGCAGACGTTTGGATCGTGGTTAGGTACAATGGAGAGAGTTTTCACACGATAACGCGTGCAAGATTCATCCAACGATCTATCGGAGGGGATGGTATGGAGGACAGTAGGGGGTGGCCCGACCTCGAAGCGAGACCATTGTTCGAGCTCACAATGGCTAAACGCAATAAATTATCACCGACCTCTGCCGCATATCACTACCCACCTTATATAGTAACCCCTAAAATCCTCGTTGAATACGGAATACGCTGGTAAAGGCGGCCCGCTTGCGCCACCATTCCTCCATAAATTCGCGTTACCAGTGATAATCGTTCACCGTCTTTATCCATAATTTACACGATCCGTTCTTATTCCATTCATCGGTTTCATCTTGTTAAAAAGATATGCAACATTTTCAAAGCGTGATTCTTTTGCACAATTTATTCAATTAAGTTTAAGTTTAAAGTTTGAATCCAACGATATTTGTCTCGTCTTCCCTGACGATTCACGACGAAGTGAAAGTTTTTCGAAACTCAAAAGAACGATCAACGTGGAGCAATTCTGAAAACAATCGACCTTTGAAATTTAATTTTTCGAACCGAACTCTTCGACAAAGTTTCTCTCGATCGAATTCGACATTTCGGGACCAAGTTAAACGAGAGAAGACGAAGAAGAAGTTGGAAAAAAATTTGAATACCGTCCGTTTGTCACTAACGGGGGTGGTAATTTTTCATATTCCCCCTCTTTCCCCCGAATTTCAAACCCCTCTTCTTCCTCGCCTCTTTCTTTATCCCTCCCCGAGGAAGTGCGGAGATGGAAGGAAACGGGATTGGCCGAACACATTGTAACCCCGCGATAAATCTTGCAAGAGATCGTGTCACTCGGCGAAACGTTCCCTCTGTCGTGGTCGAAATCGACGATCTCCCCACGGCCTCTTCCCGCCGACTCGAGAGTTCGAGTTCGAGTCGAGGAAGAAGACCGCAACGTCCGACGATTCTCCCCTGTGGCTACGTTCGTGAAGATCTTCTTGATCTTCTGAAAGTTAAACACAGAAAGGGAGGGGGGGAGGGAGGGGAGGAGGAGGCAGAAACGGGTGCAATTTTTACGAGCTGCGTCAACCTTTGAAATTTTTCAAACGGTCCCCGTTTAAAAAACTATTCGAGCCACTTTGCGAAATACTTTCGCACGAACTCTATCTAAGATTCCTCTGATTATCGTTCTTTCTGCTAGCGTGATCGATTTGCGCGTGTTTAAAGATTCGATCTTTGTACACGTTTACACGTAAAGGATAATTTTTCTATTGCTATTCTTTTTAACCAATCGTTCCATAGATTCCTTTCCCTTTGGGAATATAGATCGTTTAACCATTATTCCATTTTATATACTCCTTCGAATGTATATTTTTCTTCTTCTTTCTACTCGATCTCCATCTCTTCCACGTTTTCATTTCCCCTTCGTGTCGACGATACGCTCATCGCCACGTTTTACGCGCATCTCTTGATCCAGTTTCCCTCTCCAGGATCTCCCTTTGTACCGGGAATAAACAAAAGTATCGACGAAAGAAAGAGAAAAAGAGAAAAATCCTAGCAACCCCTTTTTTCGAATTGAAATAAAAGAAAGGTAAATGGCTCGCGAGATTTTGAATTAAACGCGATAAGGTTAATTTCGCGGCACGTTTACCCTCTACGAATTGGCCGCATTCAGAGGGAGGAAGAAGGCTATTCAGGGTGGTGGTTTCGCTCGAACGCGCTTGTTCCATCCAAGGTTGGAAGGAGAGCGAAATTTGTAACGGCGCAGTCAAGACGCCCTTTTTCAGCGAACGGCAGCGGCGGAGGCGGCTTCTTTTGAATAAAATCAAGTATCGGGTTATTGTGGCGGAACGGAGGAAAGCCGCGATAAGAAGGTCTCTTTCAACGCTTTTCAAAACCAGCCTTCCCTTTTCTATTTTTCATCCTTCTTTTCAAGCCTCGTTTGCTCGGCCGGAAATTTCTTTCTCGCAGGGGTGGAGATGTTTTTCAACAGGCGGACCCCGCGTGTGCGGAATGCGTGCTCGTATAATGAATTTCTCTCGTCGCGGACAACGGGTTTCGACGATGCGGCGCTGCGTGTTTTTACACAGAAATTTTTTCCCCTCGTATCGTAAACGGCGAATGTTATAAAGTTCACTGAGATATCTATAATTTTATTATTGAACGTTGCTAGCAGTGTTGCTATTCCATAGTTGATAATCCTTTCGTTTATCTTCGATCTTCAGTTGTTGTTCTGTGGCCAGACACGTGCATTCGCCAAAATATACCCATTCCAGCTAAATATTTTTATTTATTCTTCACCACTGCATAACCAGCCAACAGTGAAACATGGCGACATTGGTGCTATGCATAGGGGATGCAGTTGTAAAAAAAAAGGTTAGTCAGTTAGTTGGTGAAGAATGAAGAATTCGAACTTTGAGTGAATAAAATTATATTGGTATGGGAGTAGTTTTTGAATGAAGTGAAGGTGGTGGAACAAAAATTTACGCGATTGTACGTAAGAATATTATCACGAGTATAATTACGAAATATATTGATAATATACGTAGTAAAATGCAGCAATGGCGAAAAATTAATGTAATTGTGTTAACGTAATTGGTGTTTGTATTATCGCTCGATGGTGCTTTTTAGCATATCATTCATTTATTCTAGCACAGTTTATATTAAAATGCTCGCTGTGGGTTAAGTACCGTTCCAATTCGCAGACGAAATTTATCGCGTAACACTAATGCATATTACCGACCTATTTATATTCTTCTCATTTTTTAAAACACAGAAAATTAACGTTGAACAATTCTTCTAATTGCAAAGATCTAAAAAAAAAAAAGAAAATGACGACTAGCAATGACCGATTTAAATCCAAGAAATATATCCCAAAATTTAATAGTTTGACAAAACAAAATAGCTGAAATTAAATTCGATTATTATTACCATATTACGTATCACTTTTCGATATGTACGAGCGATATTTCTAAAAGAAAAATTTCGTTTCTTCCAGAACGAACTAAACGAGTTCAAACTTTTCGAGGGGAAAAGTATCTAAATTTATTTTCCTCGGCGAACGTGTATCGAATCCCCTAAGCTCCGTTTCCAAGCCGTACCCTCGAGCCAACCCCCTGCGCCTCCCCCGACCGACGGTATATAAAGCCGGTATAATTGCAAACGTGGCGGCCAACGAATGGACCGCGAATATGCAAATGCGGCCGCGGGTGTACCTCGATAAAAGCACCGGCCGCTGATTTATTCCAATAATCGTAAACGAGCATGGGATGCCTGTTGACACGCCAACCCGCACGCACACCGGTGACAAACGCGTTTGCACACCGTGCTTTTCACGGGGCAATGGTCGCCACCGCGGACGATTCTATTCGTTTCCCGGCCCCAACGCGAATAACCTACCATTCTCGCCGAGCAAACCGTGTGAAATTCATACCCCGTTTCGGATCTTTCGAAAATATATTCGTTTCGCGCGTAAAATGTTGAAGAAGAAAAAAAAAAAAAGAAAGAAAGACGAACGTGTCTGTTCTTTTTTTTGGTTACGAATTGATTTATCGTTCGTTATTTTACGTTTTCGAGTTATCTCGAAATAATAAGATTCGAAGAGGGTGTTTGCGAATACATACCCGTTTAAAAATGTAATTAAACACGAAGGATTTGATAATTAGATATCTCTTAGGAAAAATTAAATTTCGAAGTCGAGATCGTACGCACATTTAGTTTCGTCAATTTTCGAGGGGGTGAATTAACGCGCTAATTGTCCTTGAAACGCGCGCTTTCATAAAACGAAGAAGCTCGCAATTTATCCCCCTAATTACACGTGATTGAGAGGTAATCTTATCTCGCTTGTTCGGATCTCGTCACCGTGGAAAATTCGTGAAAAGGAAAAAAAAAAAAATGAGGGGTATTCCTCCTGTTCCCCACCCAAAGAAAAAAATCGTTCAACTTACCGGGGATGCTGGTGCCGAGAGCGACGAAGGCAACCGCGGTGACCGAGTCCTTGATGCCCAGGGTGCAGCCAAAGTAGGATGCCACGTCTCCAATTACCGCCGTCACCACGCCGATCCCGAATATGCTGACGACAAAGCACAGGTAACCACCGGCGATATCTGAAAAATACGATACAATCCAGTTTAAATCGCATTGCTTGGCCGAACCTTGTCCTGTGATTTCTCGTTGGAAATTATTTCCACGGGCAGGGAGGAGGGAGGGGGAATAACGAATCTCTCGCTTCTGACCGAGAATCGTAGAGCGTAGTTGGAGATTTCGTATATTTTGGGAAGAGTATATTCGAAAATTGGACAGAGGAATTTTGTATCCACCTGGAATCGTGTTTGCCAACCAAGCATATATATAGCGTATAAATTGGATTAGTTACGTGGAAAATGTTACGTTCTTATTAACGTTCGAAATTAACGAGCTGTTTGAATTAAACAACGTTCTGTTTCCACGATGCATAACCAGGATTAAAGCGTTAATTAAGCACGCCAGGATCGTAATCTTTTTTTCCTTTGCCCCAATTCCCCCCCCCCCCCCCTCCTTGTGCTTTGATCAAACCATCCCGCCATTAATCTTTGTCATCTTTTAACGAGATTGGAAATCGTGGTGCAAGAATCGAAGAATCGAGCGCATTATTATAAAGAACCAGGATGCTGTTTAACGCTTGTTTCAAATTTCAGGGATTTCGCATCCCTGTAGCATTCGAAGAAAATTGGCAAACACGTGGAATGCATCGGTTATTCGGGTATATTCGACAGCGATACGACACCGGTGTCGTGTCGCTTCCTTTAGCTTTGATTAGCGAGACTACAAACTCCGAGTGTGTTTACTAATCAGCATAAGCTCCTCAAGTTCGTGTTAAGTAAACGCGAGGGGATCGAGGATGTCTCGTCACCTGAGAATTACGTTCATCCGTTCAGAATCATGTCGGACGAGTAGATAACGATTAAATTAGTCGGTCGACGAAGTTTAATTTTTTTTTTTTCCCTTTTTCAAGAAAAGAAGTCTCTTTCGTGTGTATATTGTACGAATACAGAATACATTAGAATACATTACATCTGCTACAGTTCCAAGATAAACGTCACGTGTTTATATTCGAGAAAAATTACTTAACTTATCCTTTGCATCGCGGAACGAAACTTATAAAATCTTGTATATATAACAAAAAATGCGTAGAATTCAATTTTTCGATAGGTTTATTTCCAACGAATATCTCGAATCTAAATCGTCGAAATTCGACTCGTCTCGATTTCCATTTGCTCCTGTTAGGGAATCGTTAAAGCCTCGATCGATATAGATACGGATTCCGCGAGGTAAATGGAAGCATCGCGTGCAATTTGCATTCCACGCATTCGCCCCTCCTCTTCCGATGCTTTTTTCCAACTCGAATTAATTCACGTCGACGTACGTACATCTCGTTCACACTTCATCAACTCCAAAGATGTACTACCTAATCGATTCTCGAGTAGGTCGGAAAGGAATTTCGCCAAAATTCAACAATCCTCCCCTTTTTTGTTTTCCAAACAGACGAACAAGACAAACAGAAGAACAAGGTTGGAACAAAGGTGATTAAACCGATTCGTTAACGAGGAGTACTCTCTTTGAACGAAACAAAGCGGATGAAAATTACAAGGAAGTTGTACCGTTCAAGTAGGCGAGCGTTATCTGCAAGCGTTTCGGTAAATTCCAAATTGCGCCACGGTGGCGCAGTGGCTTAACTCCTCAACTTTAACGAGGAATGGCGGCTGCGGACGCATCAGCTTTCTCGAGTGGCGAGCGTTAAATGCGACGAGTGAACTTTTCTTTTCTTTTTATTTATTGTCCTCGCGTTTATTTCGTATATCGTTGTCAAGGAGATCGAGGATCGTTCGAGATTCGAGAAGGTTCGCGCAACCGCGAGGATTAGAGAAGAAATCCTGGTGTAAACACGGCGTCTCCCCCCCACTCTAATCCTTCTCTCACCAGAGAGAATCACCTCCTTGGTGAAAGCGCGCTACGATACAAGGTTGAAACGGAGGGAAAACCTCTTTCCTCGTTACGAAACGAAGAAGATTTGGGGAAGAGGTAGGAAAAAATAATGAGAATTTTTTTTTTAGGTCGATTTCTTTCAAAATTATTGGATTATTCCATTCGGGATTGAAAATTTCCTCGATCCTTGAGGAATTTTGGCGTGGGGAAAAAATTTTAAAATAGAAAAAGTTTTTAAATTTCGGACGATGCAACATATTTTAATTTCGTATCATTCTACGAGGATCTAGGAAAGAATTTCGTATGGTCGAGGGATTTTGGCAAAGCACGCGAGAATTTTCTCTCGATTGGGAAAAGTTTTTCGTTCGTTAAAAAACTTATCTTTTGATGAAGTTTAATTTGTGCGCCTTTCGAATCCAAGTTCCGCAGAATGACTCTTCTTCTTCCGACTTTTGACTATTCTATTCGGAAAGAAAGAAAATTATGATCGAGGTTCAGTTTCGTTATCGGTAAGATCACGCCGACTTCATTACTTTTAAGAGATAGTTGGGAGTGGAGCGAGCTCGTTGATAGGAATTGCCACGGATGGAATTTTATTTTCGTTCGTTCGAAAGTTTTCTCCGAGCGTCTACGAACGTTCCCAAACTTCGTAAACAGGGTCGGTTAACCGCCACTGTTCTGGAATTTGTATCTGACGTCTGATCCTCCTCCGTCTCCTCCTTCTCCTCCTCGAGATCCTCGAAACCTATCCACCAACGAACTTCCCTCGTAGGATTTCCAAACTTCGTAACGATTGTAGTTCAACCTCAACCACGTGCGAATTCCTGCAGCTTCGCGAAACTGCTACGGCCATGCGCATACTTGACGAAGCAATTAATTCTCTTTTTTCACACGCCTTTTTCATTTTCAACATTCAAACTTTTCGATGAAAAGTTATAGAATTAACATTTCATTTTCATATTCTATGTTTCGGAATTTTTCAATCTCTTTTGAATTCCCTTCCGCAAAAAATTAACAAAATTGCTTGGAGAACGATCAATGGACTCTCTTCTACTCCCGTAGAATACGTAGAATATTATTGAACAGGTCAAGCGAGTAGAGATAAAGTCACATTGTACAAATAGAATTCCAAGCTTTATCGAGACCTTATCGTCGATGGAATGCCGATAATGGAGTCTTTCGAGGACAAATTCGGATGAGACGATGAGACTGGACACGAGGCGGAGTAACGCGGTTTACCGATAAATCAAACCGCGGCCAGTCCATCGATGCGACCGATATTCAAGGATCGATAGCCACGAGGTGACCCGAGAACCGTAAATGAGATCAACCGACACGGATCGTCAATCGTTTCACCTTGCCCTCCATTTTCTCTTTTTTTTTTTCTCGATCGATTCCTCGCCGATCGATCGTCGCGCGTTGATTCCCTAACTTCGACTTACGAAAAGTTAAATTCACCGATTTCATTTACGGTTGTCAAATATCCATTTAATTTCCTTCGTTCGTTCGAGAGGGAATATCACTGGTTCGTCGAATCAAACGTTGAAAACCGACGAGGCAGCGATCGGTAATTGAATCGACAAACTGAATTACCGACCGAAATCAATGTTAACTTTGATTATAAACACTTTCATCGTAAACTCGATTTAATTCAATCACGATCGTTTCAAAGGATAAAACATTCTCGATTCGTGGTTTCGATAATACGATTGCTCCATTTTCCGTTTTGTTCATCAAAGTTCAAACCGATCTTATTACAACATGTCCAACATGTTCACCGACCGATATACCTGGCTCTCTGTTGGCGATGACCAAGTCCCTCTCCCCGCCCATGAATTATGCGATATTATCCCTGCTAAATTCGGGGAAGCGCAATGCGGCCTCCGCGTTCCACACTGTGTCACACGAATCGTAAACTTTAACTAAACGTATTAACAGCGATCGGAATTACGAGAATTGATTTCCTTCCCTCGTGGTTTTGAATCTGGAAGAGATTCTTTTTTCTTTTTCTGCGCATGTCAAATACATATGTTGGTTGTTAAATGAACGTTGTCGTAAGATAAATCAAATATGTTTCGTTGTTTTTCGTTTCAGTGCAAAGAACTTGGTAATTCTACTTCTGGTAAAACATGAAAAGGATGAACGTGATTCGAATTTTAGTCTCCATAGTTTCGGCCATAGTTTTATATATCAGTGTTCTTGAGAATTGATCAAAAATAAATCGTGAAAATCTCTGCCCCTTGTCATTATCTCTCTGTCCAATTTATCTAGAATTACAAGCACTGTGCATCGCCTATCTCTCACCACGTACGAAGGAAATTAGTAAATCGCGAGTCGGCCAAAATCGAAACGAAACGATCACTTTTCATGTTAGAGATGTACTTACTCGTTCGAACTTTCGGCCGAAATCGGTAAATGTGTTTATGGTTCGTGTTCCACTAGAATCACCGGTATGCTTAGCAGATGCAGCCTCGTTAGTTTTGTTCGAACGTGACCCGATTACATCATATAAATTATACCTGCCACGCGTGACGCAAATCCTAATATTGTGGAGAGGCACGGTGATACCGATCCACCTCCTCGTTTGAACTATATCTCGTTTCGTTTCTCCTATTTCTTTTCTTCTTCTTTGCGTTTCTTCGAAATCTACAGCATTACGAGAGAAGAACAAGAGTTGTTGAAATTACCATTTCGAAATATTTATTTCAAAAATGCTGTTGTGCGCTTAAAACAATTTTGGAAACGATTTCTCATTCTTGATCTCGTTAATACCTTTCTTTCGATATTTTCTCTATTTTTGGGGATTGCATTTGAGGAGGAAATTCTCGACAAGTGAGAGTATTTTTCACAAACAGATATTCTTAACAATGAAATCAAATAAACTAAGCTTTAAAATTCGAAAGTTTTATTCTCAAAGATATTTAAATTCGATGCATACTCGAAGAATGTTCCAACGTTATTTCTTTCTAACATTTCCTTTTCTAACGTACTTTAAGCAGTAATTTTTACCACGAATTCGTCAACTTCGTTGTCAGAATCATATCTTCCCAAGAACAGATAAAAGATTCGAGAATTCTGCTCGAAGAATCTCGCGCAGAATTCGATCAGAGACCGACCCGAGAATTTCGCCCGATATTTTCTC